AGATGGACGTCCTCAACTTTTCGTAAGTGGCTTCTCTCTCTTCTGAACTCCCCATATTGTTCTTCTAGCCACATAAGAGGGACAGAAGCCACATAAGAGCTTACTGAATGAATAGCATCAAAGGAAATAATTTATTATACTGTTACAGTCACATATGATGTATCAGACATACCAACGGCCGGAAGGACAGACAAAGCGACGATTATATCCTCTTCCTTTTCGGATAGAATAAACAAGAGCTGTCACAGGAGACAGCGAAGCTCGACTAAGAAAACACCGGACACAGTAAGAAAGACAAAACTATGAAAGAAAAATTAATTATGTATAATTATATATTAAGTTATAGTCAAAAAATAACATTGCCAACATTAATTCCAAGATCAAGGGGAAAAATTCTGGAAACAGTCACGCTAGAGTTATGAACCTTGTCACGCAACATATGTGTAATGATAAGAAATATATATTTGAAGTTTGAAGTAGATACCTTAACAAGAGGGCCATGATGGCCCTAGATCGCTCACCTGACTCATCAAACTCATCCGAACAATTACCTAGACAAGCATTCTGACCAAGTCTCATGACAGGTGAGTCAAAAATGTGACCACTACAGTGTTAACAAGGATTATCCATATTTGAGCAGTGCGACCTAGTTTTTTACCCAGGTGACACATATTCAAACTTGACCTAGAAATCATCAAAACAAACTTTCAGACCAATTTCCAGGATACTTGGATCAAAACAGTAGCAACTAGAGTGTTAACAAGATTTTTCTATTTTTAGCTCCGGTGACCTAGTTTCACATGCGATTTCGAACTCATCCAAGCAATTACCTAGACAAGCATCCTGACCAAGTTTGATGATAACTGAGTCGAAAATGTGACCACTAGAATGTTAACAAGGTTTTTCCATATTTGGGCGGTGTGACTAGTTTTTCATCCAAGATGACCCATGTTCGATCTTGACTTAGAAATCATCAAACAAACTTTCAGACCAATTAACAGAATATTTGGATCACAACAGTAGCCACTAGAGTGTTAACAAGATTTTTCTATTTTTAGCTCCTGTGACCTAGTTTTCATCCGAGATGTCCCATGTTCGATTTATTCCCAGCAATGACCTAGACAAGTTTCCTGACCAAGTTTGATGACAATTGAGTCAAAATTGTGACCACTAGAGTGTTAACAAGGTTTTTCTATTTTAGCTCCTGTGACCTAGTTTTTCATCCGAGATGACCCATGTTCGAACTCATCCGAGCTATCACCTAGACAAACATCTTGAATCAAGTTTGATGATGATTGATGCAAAAATGTGACCGCTAAAGTGTTAACAAGGTTTTTCTATTTTTAGCTCTGGTGACCTACTTTTTCATCCGAGATGACCCATGTTCGAACTCATCCAAGCTATCAACTAGATAAGCATCCTGACCAAGTTTGATGATGATTGATGCAAAAATGTGACCACTAGAGTGTTCACAAGGTTTTTCTATTTATAGCTCCGGTGACCTAGTTTTCATCCGAGATGACCCATATTCGAACTCATCCGAGCTATTATCTAAACAAGCATCCTGACAAAGTTTGATGATGATTTGTCAAAAATGTTGACCACTAGAGTGTTCACAAGGTTTTTCTATTTTTTAGCTCCTGTGACCTAGTTTTTTTCATCAGAGATGACCCATGTTCGAACTCATCCAAGCAATTGACTAGACAAGCATTCTGACCAAGTTTGATGATGATTGGTTCAAAAATGTGACCACTAGAGTGTTCACAAGGTTTTTCTATTTATAGCTCCTGTGACCTACTTTTTCATCCGAGATGACCCATGTTCGAACTCATCCGAGCTATCAACTAGACAAACATCTTGATCAAGTTTGATGATGATTGATGCAAAAATGTGACCGCTAAAGTGTTAACAAGGTTTTTCTATTTTTAGCTCTGGTGACCTACTTTTTCATCCGAGATGACCCATGTTCGAACTCATCCAAGCTATCAACTAGATAAGCATCCAGACCAAGTTTGATGATGATTGAGGCAAAAATGCGACCGCTAGAGTGTTCACAAGCAATTGTGGACGGCATGACGGACAACGGACGGACGGACGACGGACATTCACCGATCCTAAAAGCTCACCCTGAGCAAGCTCAGGTGAGCTAAAAAGTAAAGAAGTTCAAAGAGAGATAAATCTGTAAATATTGCTTCAAGAGTTATGAACCTCTTTTGGGGACCAAAACTCTGTATTTAATAATTGGACCATATCATTGTAAATTAGGAACCAAACTTTACTGGTTATACAAATGGAGTGCATATGTAGTTCAAATTAAATATGAAATTACTTCCATGCGGACATGGCAAAGCAGGCAAATAATTTGGCTATTTAAGGGGACACAACTTTATCATATATTTCATTATCAGGCTGATTTAATAAAGGAACCGCGATCATTTGAGGATGGTCCAAATTGTACACAAGTTTGGTCCAAATAATACAAACTGAAAGCTGCTTTTAAGCTGACAAATTGTGGACAACAAACTGATAGAAAAAGGATTACAGACAACAACAAGAGCACCGCTAGGCGGAGCATTATATGCCCAAAAAAGTTTTTTACTTTACTAAGGATGAAGCATTTGCAAGACATAACATAAATTAAATAAAGTATTACCTCCTTCAAATAGCAATCCTCCTATAAAGTTTGAATATTGTGGGCCAAATGGAACTTCAGTTATGCTCTGGAAACTGCTTTTAGTTTTGAGGTAATAGCTACCTTGAACATTGACCGTTTGACCCAAAAATCAATAGGGGTGTTCAACCCAATATGGACAATCATCCTATGAAGTTTCAACACTATGGGCCAAATAGAAATTAAGTTATGTTCTGGAAACTGATTTCAGTTTTAAAGTAATAGTAACCTTGATCTTTGACCGTGTGACCCAAAAATCAATAGGGTCTTTTACCCAATATGGACAATCATCCTATGAAGTTTGAACACTGTGTGCCAAATGGAACTTAAGTTACGTTCCGGGAACTGTTTTCAGTTTTAAGGTAATAGTGACCTTGACCTTTGACCTTGTGACCACAAAATCAATAGGGGTCTTCTACCCAATATGGAAAATCATTCTATAAAGTTTGAATACTGTGGGCCACATGGAACTTAAGTTATGCTCCAGAAACTGTTTTCATTTTTAAAGTAATAATGACCTTGATCTTTGACCTTGTGACCCCAAAATCAGTAGGGTTCTTCTACCCAATGTGGAAAATAATCCTATGAAGTTTGAACACTGTCTGCCAAATGGAACTTAAGTTATGCTCCGGAAACTGTTTTCAGTTTTAAGATGATAGTGACCTTGACCTTTGACCTTGTGACCCCAAAATCAATAGGGGTCTTCATCCTATGAAGTTTGAATGTTTTGGGCCAAATGGAACTAAGTTATGCTCTGGAAATCAAATTGCTAACGGACGGACGGGCGGAAGTGCCAACAATTGGGGCTTTGATCTTTATGTGGCATTTTTCCCCATAAACCAGTAAAATTACCACATAAAACAGTCGGTTTATGGGATTACCTTCTTTTTTTAACCAAAATTATGGACGGAACCAAATAATGTTCGCCAGGATAGACGGACGTACGGTGGGACGGACGGACGCCAGGGGGTATAACATAATATGCCCAAAATTCTTTAGGGCATATAAAAGTTGGCTCAATGCCCATGAGAGTTGAACACTTTCTGTGATATAAATTCTAAGGGGATAAATGTTTTGTAGACAGCATTGTCTAGTTGACCTTTACTAAAGCTACATAAAACCTAGAGTTTAGTGATCAAACTTTTTGTAATGTCATGTCTAGTATTCCATAAGATTCATTTCATACATGCATCTTGTTAACAACCTCTAAAAATCCAAAAATAGTTTCAAAACAAGTTCATAGTTGAGTTAGTTATAAAGTACATTTGTAAATACTTCTTTTTATCTTTACCTTTCTTCATCAAAATATGTAAATGTAATATATAGATCTATTCGTGATTTGTTTATTTTATTGTCTTTAATCATAAACAAACAATGTACAAGTATAGATAAATAAATCAAGTTGACTTATTGAAAGAAAGAAAAATAATAATATATAAATAATTAATAATCAATATTTTTTCATATAAATTCATCTTGGTTACATTATATAGAAGGTGTCCAAGAATTCAATAATGTAGAAGTGGCGGATTAACCCAGTGTTAAAGGCCAAATTTGCCTAAAAATCAATTAAACTTGTTCATATTTCAAAAAATCAATTAAATTTGTTCTTATTTCAAAAAATCAGTAAAATTTGTTCTTATTTAAAAATATCAATTTAGTCTAATTAAATTTGTTGTTCTTTCAAAAGGGCAAATATGAGTTTAGATATTGTTTAAAGAGCATGTTAAATATTTGTTACCCTTAAAGTAAAATTATTTGTCATAAACGTAGAAAAATGTAAACAGAGTTGTATTTTGACTTCCGTACAAAATACTTGATAATCATGATAATTATATTCATTGTCAAAAAGCAAAAAAAGCAAAATATGGTTCTGAACAATTTTTTTGGAAACTATAACAAAATGCACAAAACAAAAAGCTTTTGAGAAAGTAGAATAAAGTATTTCAGAGGAATATTGGGCCTCTTGTTATTTGTCTTTATCAAAGTTAATATGTGATCTCTACATTTGCAATGAAGGCAAATAATTCCTATTTGAACCAAATAAAGAAATTGATGAACATTTAAGAATAATTCACAAACAATGGAAACGGCATAGAAGCACCATTTCTTTCTACATGTATATGTCTTTGCAATCAAGTTTTTACACCTTCATCAACAAATTAGTTGCTAATTAAACTTACTTAAATAACAAGTTCATCAACATTTTCAAATAAAAACTGTTAAAAAATATGAATTAAAACAATGCATATAATGAAGGGTACAGTGTCAAGACACCCGTGTTATGACCAAGAACGCATATTGGGATGTTTTTTTGTTTTTTTTTAAGTCTTACAAATATCCTTCAGCAAAAAACATGATTTCTGTACTGCTTCATTTTACCAATGTGTTTACAAGAACCTGAGTGATTGATCCCAAAATGTGGGCTTTACAAGCAGAGTGAATGACTAACATAACAGATAGATAGCTGGACTCTGGCAGCCTGATGAGCAGGGGTTGTTGGTTCCCATTCCTTGAATGCTGTCGACTGTATGATATTCCTACTTTTTACAAAGGTCAAAAACCAATTAAGGTTTATTCATAAAGTGCTTTTATAAGAATGAAATATGTCCTTTATTTTCCAAAAATATATATCACTCTTAAGGCAGCTCACTTCTAAGACAGTCTTCATCATAGTGTAGATCTAACATTTATCTAATGCCACTTCTCTCAGTCTGTTATATTTTCTGTATCAACAATCTACAAACAACAAATTCAAACACTGAGGTTAATCAGAATATATAAATTATTTCACATGTACATGACTTGTAATATTAGAATCATGTGAAAAAAAAAAAACTTTTTACAAATCATACTATGAAAATGATCGGCCAAAATTGCATTTTCTATTATCATTGGTGGAAGAGAACCATAGGTGTTATAGTTGATGACTAATTTACTTTTTATTTATTTTTTTTATTTTTGTTTTTTTGTTTCTTTCAACATTGCACCAACACAGTATAGGTCATATGGCACCATTCCAGGTTTACTGGTGGAAGAAGACCTCAAGTACCCCTTCGTACATTATTTCAGGCACAAACAGACACCTAAGCCAGTTTGCTTTCTCGCATAAAGAATCCAAAGACGTTGATGCGGCTCAAACCTACAGTGGTGAGAGGTAAGTGATTTGAGGTCAACTGAAACTTTTTCCCAATTTAAAAAAGAAATCCAAAAAGCAGCCAAAAAAATCAAATTGTTTCTGTTTCTGCAAATAAACATTTTTAACTTTTTATAAAAAAAATGACACTTGTTAAAAACGTTATTCATGTAAAAGGTAGTTTATCAATTTTTTAAAGGGACTCCACTGAGTTTATTTTTATATGATGGTGCTGGAAATATTTTTTCAAGATTACTGTTCCATTTATAGAGGATATTGAATGAGTGTAAGTTCAATACTGAATTTATTGCACAAGTTGAACTTGAATAAAATTATATTATGCGAGCCTCTGGCGAGCATAATATTACTTTATTTAACAGGTGCAATAAATTCAGTAATGTACTTACACCAATTTAATATTCTATTGATCACATACCCAAAATAAAGACCGTTTAAAGTGAAATAAGAGTCATTTTTCATTGAGCGCCTAAAGTATAACGCTAACATTTAGTGTGTTTTTACACTATGTTTGTATAACGCTAATGACCTCACGTCAAAATATATGCACAGCTGTGCAATACCATTTTTACAGAGTCGCAAAATCCGCACAGGTATGTGATTAAACCCATTACTGCATGAGTTTTTTGTGAAAAACAGCTGTTTTCATTGAAAAGTCCTTCGTTACAAGTTCAAATTGCTATAAAACTATAAAAACTGCTTCAATGCTAATTAAACTTGGCACAAATGTTGACTGGACCATTGCCTTTGTAACAACATGCTCAGTCCTAATTTTCCTGTTACCATTGCAATGAGGGGACATCTCAAAATTGCCAAAAATCACTATTTCGCGTTGATTTTTTCCATCAAAATTGATTTCAATGTGCTGCAACTTCCCAATGGATTGAGACAGAGTCAAAGGCTTTACAGTGTTGGTTACACATTACTTTATGATCAATCTGGGGTCATTTTTAGCCTTTCACAAGCCCAAAATTATCTCGGCAATGAGGGGGACTCAACCGCCACCCTTCAAACCCCCCATAACAGGAGGAGGCACATCCCCCTTTTGGCAACCCCCTGATGTATCTTTTGGATAGGGCACCGCGTCGAAAAAGTGGTCACTTTTTTAAACAACATTCCTCTACCAAAAACAATTGTTGAGGGCCTAAATAAGGCATTTTTCCACCATTTGAGACAACATTAAAAGGCGTGCATATAACGTAATAGGTTAATGTACGTCTAGACCAATAACTTGTGTAGAATTTTTCAGATTATTTGCTCCCTTAGTTTTTCTAGAATGAATTTTCTAATTGTAAAAAATAGTCAAAACTTGAAAAGTGATGCAACAAATAGCCCATGAAAGAATAATTGTTAAATGGTAAACAAATGCTTACCTAAAATAGCATTATAGTATCTTATTTTGGAACATATAATTCTGTTTACATACAATATTCATGTGTGTTAAATAGCAGACACATTCTATGTGACAACTATTTCAAAAATCGACCATACAGTTATGGAAACAACACAAATTTACTATTTATAGATTTTACAAAAATATTTCATATTATTAAAGATATAGCTTTATACCCTTTAATTTAAGCTTTACATGGTCTTGAATAACTTGTATTTATCACGTACTCTTGCTGTTTATGTGAGTCTGTAAATATGGTATTGCACGGCCGTGCACATATTTTGACGTGACATCATTTATGTTATATAAACAAAGTGTTAAGACGCGGTAAATGTTAGCATTATACTGTAGGCTCATCAATGAAAGATGGATCTTTTTCACTTCAAACGGTCTTTATTTTTGATATATGATAAATAGAATATTAAATTCATGTACTGGGCAGGAACCAGTTTCCGGACAATACCAGTTTTCGGACAGGTATTATAACAGCTTAATTTTGGCTTTATCGATGATTATCTGGTTTGATTGTTTGAGAAAATAAACTAACTTCCAAGTTGATACATCATTAAAATTTCGTGAGGATTTCTTACCTGTGTTTTAAAAACAGCCTTATATCCCTTTGGGGCATGTAATCTGTTCTGCGCATGCGCAATATTTTGTTTATTTCGGGATATAATTTGGGGTAGCAATTAATGCACAATGTAGTTCATTCAAAGTTCATTGGGTGTAATTCCCCAGAGCTAAATCTGTAACTTATTTGAAAACGGTGTTAAGCTAGGTTTACTCCACTTTCGCACTTCGTTGAAGCCGTACACACAAAAATATCCATTTCACTTTTCAGTCATTCCGAGACCCATCGAGTGATCGTTATTTTTCCTATCCTAAACATTTTTCAGTAAATCAGCTTAATTATATAGGAAAGCTTATATGTGAGAAGAAATTTTTTGTTATATTAGAATAATTATCAGTTAAAAACAGATATGAATAGCAGCTTAATATATGTCCGGAAACTGGTTCTGCAAGAGTGAACAATTTACACTTTTGATGACTTAATTTAACCCTTCAGTTTGTACAATGCTTACGTCACCAGGCAGTATTAATTGTGTTATCGGACGTAGTTAGAGCTCAGGTTTTTGGTATGTTAGTTTTATTAATGCATGTTTATTATTAAAAAATAGATAATTAAAAAAACTCGAATTCTGTCCGGAAACTGGTTCCTGCCCAGTAAGTTTATTACTGAATTCACTGAACTCATTAAATAAATGAATATTATGCTCGCCAAAGGCATAATATAATTTTATTCAACTCCTTTAATAATTCAGTATTAAACCTACACTCATTCAATATCCTCTCTATAGGCTAAACTGATTCATTAATCGTGACATTACCTCTTCAAAGTCATCAGCAATGGACACAATTTTATCCCTGGTTCTGAGAAGATGTTGCTCTCTTTCTTGTACTTTATCTCTCAATAGTTTGTTCTGTGCCTCAAGGTCATTCAATGTCTGCTTTAATGCTTTCAATTTCTCTCTCTTTAACACACCTACTTCACATCTTACATCCTCCTTTACATTACCACTTGGACGCCTAAAATGAGAGAAAATATTTCATTACCACTGGGACGCCTAAAACAAGAGACAATTTTTCATTACCACTTGGACGCCTTAAATGAGAGTAAATATTTCATTACCACTTGGACGCCTTAAATGAGAGTAAATATTTCATTACCACTTGGACACCTAAAATAAGAGCAAATATTTCATTACCACTCGGATGCCTAAAATAAGAGCAATTATTTAAATATTTTTTATTACCATTTGAAATATTTCATAACACTGGACGTCTAAAATAAGAGCAAACATTTCATTACCACTTGGACACCTAAAATACTAGCAAAAATTACATTACCATTTGGATGCCTAAAAATAAGAGCAAAAACTTCAAACATGTAATGGTTAAAACTTCTTGGACATTTTAAATAAGAGCATTTACATGTATACATGCATAGTTTGTTTGTTCTGTTAGCTTTTCCCCAAGTCTCAATGACTATATTGCAGCAGATATTTACTTATCAGTGCTCTAAATTTCTGGCATTTTACTGATTTGTTTTCCTGTGAGTTATTTCAACATTCTCCACATCAACTATTTATACAAAAGACAAGGGAAAATTGGCATCAGATGATTTATCAAAATCTTTACACTTGTGCATTCAAATTTTACAGGTAACCTTAGTTATCAGGCTATGAAGTTTCTTATTTCATAAAAGAAGATTTATGTCCATAAAAAATAAATAAGCTGATGCAACATCTGTGTGGCGCAAAACATTTAAGGCTGCATGCATCCAGATGAGCCAAAATATTTCATAAAAATCAAACTTGAGGAAAATGTACCAATTATTTAAGATTTTAGGAAAATCAATTTAAGATTCAAGTTATAATTTACATGTTATGAGCAATTATTTACTGATTTTTGATCTATTATTATATTTCTACTGTGTGACTCACACAAGGTTTTTTTTAGCATATTTTGACCTCTTTTGGTAATTTACTTGGATTGTAAGTGTGGTGTACAATGTGTAAATTACATTCTTTGTTCACTTCACAATATTTCACTTCAAACTTTTCATGAAAATTAGCATGAATCTAGAGGTTAATGCTGCTTTAATGTAGAAAGTGACTTAACAATGATTTAGTTTATGCCTTAAAAATAAGCCATTATTCCTAAACAATGAAAACATAAGATGAACTTAAAACTGTTTAAATTATTTCCTTCAAAGTTTAACATACCTTATGATTAGGTTTATTGGTTTTTAAGTCGACATTTTCGGTCTAACAAGTAACTAAAAATTTCTCTGCCACTGACTTACTAGATTTTTTAATTAGCATTGAGAGACAAATGACCACTATACTCAATGTCCAGAACACAATGGTTCTTTATCTCTTACTACTGATTATTATGGGCATACTATAAGAACATAACTTTGTGAACAAACTGAACATACCATGCCACTGTGCCAGGCTGTGATGGGTTCTCAGCTATGATCTTATCAAGGCTGTTTAGTAATGTTTCCAGATTTTCCTCTTTGTACATCTGCTCTAACTCACACTATAAAACAACAATAATAGCAAAATAGTTAAATTACTCAATGCTTGTTTTGGCTCCCATTTTATGATACTGTTTACTGAATAAATACATACAAACTAGAAATTTTCCCCCAATAGGGATCATTTACTGGTCAAGACCAATGCACCTTTGAAGTTTGCAGGCCCAGGGCCCATGGTTCGTTGAATTACTGGTAAGAACCATTTATGATTTTGATATAAAAAGTCAATGTGACCTTGACCTTTGACCCCATGACCCAAAATCAATAGGGGTCACCTTCTTGCCAAGACCAATGCACTTGTGAGGTTATGAGGGCAAAGAACCCATGGGTTGTCGAGTTATTGGCTGGAAACGGTTCCAATATGACCTGTGACCTTGACCTTTGACCAAGTGACCCCAAAAACACTAGGCTTCATCTTCTGGCCATGACCAATCTCCATATAAAGTTTGAAGTTCCTAGGCCCAGGTGGTTTTAAGTTACATGTATTAATGCTAATAAATCGGAAATTGACATAGGCTACTGACCGACATATGGACTTACCAATGAGTACAAAACAAAATACCCCCTATTCTTCTAAGGGGATGCATACTTAAAAGCTTCAGGCATTTAATATTAGTGCTTTACTAAAGAACCAAAGGTTACTTCTAGACCAGAAAATCCTTTCCTTTCATGAAATGATCATAAGTACTCCATAATTATGGATTTCCAGTTGCAATTATACAAGTACATAAAATGAATGGATTTTAACTTAATATTTACGAGTGTATACTTTACCTGTATATTTGCCTCAAGCTGTGAAATAGTTTTACTATGTAGGTGTTCCAAGTGAGTGTTATCTACTCCAGTCAAAGGTGATACCAACCTGAAATTTTTCAAAACACATTTAACCCTTTGCCAGAAATGAACAAAAGCTGCGCCATTCTGACGAAAGCCCTCCCATCTAAAAATGCCATAGTGGTTATAAGCCCTAACATGATATTCCCAGGTTGGACAAAAGCCCTCCCATAAAATTTACCAGTGAGACAAAATCAGTTCCATTAAATTTACAAATAGGACAAAAGCACTCATCTGGAAATGCACATATACAAAAAATTTAATGTAAACATCAAAATAGGACTAGCTATAAAAAAAGTAGCTGCCAAAACAAATGTTTTATTATAATTAAGACAATATGAATAAATGCATCTATACATTTGCATAGAGCTGTCATTGATTTGGTACAAAGCCTTTTTAAGGATATTAACAATATTTGAATATCAGATGACAAATATCTACGATACATCAATATTTTGATAATCATTACTTATCATGACTTATCTATTATTCACCTTCATACTGGTTTATAAATGATTTCAGAATAAAACATGTTCTGTTCACAGGCCTCAAATTTTTCTAGGCTTACTTGCCCTGCAGGGAAAGGGACCCTACAAATTTTTTCTCACCCTTCATAAAATGTACTTGCTCTGCATTTTGACGGACACAATTTGTAAACATCAAACACAAAAATCAAATTTACTATTTACTCATCTGTATCCATATAACTGACTTTATTCAAATACATATTTTAAATTAGGTTTACAATACGTTTCATTCTTTCAATATTTCCTGAATTCAAATTCTAACACACTCGGCTAAAATATTAATCTCATAGCTAAGTAAGCATTACCGAACGCATTTTTGGAATGCTGTTAAGGAATCAATCCATACCATACTCGTTTGGTAAAGTTTTATACTAACTTAGTCATCAAGTCAATTTCCAGTTTTTGTTAGACAGTTTTACAATTGAAATGGGGTCTGCAGTTTGATTTTTTTTAACGAATAACTTCATTTACATTAATTGTTTAGAGAAACATCATTTGGATGGGGATAATCTTACTCGCACTGCCAGAACTTTCACTAGAAAGTGAGAGCGGGCAAGTGGATTTGTCAAGGCCCAATGAAATCACAGGTATATGGTGTATGTCAAAGACTTTAATGATTACTCCTCCCCTCTCCCACCATCCTGCATGCTGCAACCCAGTTATAACAATAATATGGGGATGTCAAAGGCTTTGACTTGCCTGGCAGGCTATAGTTTACACATGTATATTTAAAAGGAAATCAAATAAAAAAAAAAAAGCAATAAAAGAATATATAGAATTCCATAACTATTCATGAAAATTTCAGTGTAAATTCTAGTTGGGTGCAATCCTTTTCCAGTGTTAGTCATTGATAATAGGCAGGGTATTCCTATGACAGAAAATTCAAAACCTTTTGGATTAAAAATTGGAAGTGGCTAGCCCTACGGTTACCCTAAAGTTCTAGCTGTATGTGAGTCATGTACAACTAGCAAGGACACGCTGTATTGGCTAGCCGTACGACACTTTTCAAAATTATATAGAAGTCGAAAATGCGTATGTTATTATATGACTTTAAGCGAAGATTTTAACCAAGAATCAGCAATTGTCTTTGTATGTTTACTTTTTAGAGATGAATCGGCTTGTTGGCTATTGATTGTTGTAATCTCAAGATGCCGAGAAAAAATAGTGTTTGGTTGCATTTAAATAATACCAATTGAAATAGTTTACAAAATTTTGATTATTATCCATTTTTGTTTCGTTCAGTTTAATTTTCAACACCTTTAAAATGAAAAAAAAAACCACAAAAATAATTTTTGTTAAATTGGGCTCTGATAATTGCGTCAACTACCAGTGACGGTAAAGAAGTTTGTCCATCATTGAGGAAAGTTTGCATGTTCCGTGAAATGCATTCTAAAATTCTATTGTCAGTCCCTGGGTAGGCTTTAATTAAGGCTAATTAATTGATTGTGCTTTTATGTTCCATATTTATCTACTGTATTTGAAAATTACATACAATTATTTTTGCTTTTCACCGTTTTTTTTTTTTTTTTCAATGTTCTTTTTATTTATTCCACTCTGATCATTATTTATTCGATCCATGTGCTTAATTAACAAAAATGATTTAATAATTCATCTTTCATGCAAATAAAACAACAAATGATAAGCATGAAATCAACGAAGTTATAACTTATAAAATGCAACTTTGACACTTATATCAAGATAGTCCTATAAATATGACGTCGCTTTGAGATATTTTTGCTTCTGGGCAAAGCAACATCATATCGAAATTGCTCAAAAACTCATAGCATGTTCCGCCAGAAAATCGGGCGGAACGAAAAACAATTAAGACAGCGTGTATTTACATTAGTTTTGACCTATTGATGAACAAAACTAAAAAATAAATACCTTTTGTCAAAATAATTAAACTGTCACATCCGAAAAATCATGATTAAATCTTCTCATTTAAATTCCTTTTACAGCTGATAAACAAATGGCGGCCATACAGTGTGTGAAATCTGATTGGCTAATTAATTCAAATGCAAGCGTTTAACTGAGTCAGAACGGAATATTTTTTTAATGAAATAATTGCCCATGCACCGTCAGTTTTCGAAAATATTTTTCCGTTCAAAAATTTGGAATCAATCTGTAAAACACCTTGCTTAACCAGTATGGCTGATAGGCAAAAATAGATTGATTTTTATATTTTATTTTAAATTGATAACTTCATAAGTACATTGTTTGAGAGTTTTTGTGTATGAGTGCGCATGAAATTGAAAGAAAAGAAGATTAGCTTTTGAATAAGGCTAATTGAAAGGCAACACAATAAACATTTTTTGAATATTTTTTATGATGCTATGTGTTTTTGAACAATAAATATTAGACGTCAGGCTTGACCGACATAAACTATAACTAGCCTGTAACGTCTTATATATTGGACTCATATCAAGATAGATTATACAACGTTTGTTCGTTTTCATTTTTTTTACAAAAGGACGGAGCATCTTTATTAAAGTGAACACACGAGGACAAATGCGGAGACTTGATTAAAATCCTTGTTTAAAGACCCAAAATAACATAATATTATGCATTTTCGACTTCCATATAATTTTGAAAAGTGCCATACGGCTAGACAATACATTGCGTCATGGCTAGTCGTTCGTGACTCACACACGGCTAGAACTTTCGGCTAGCCGTACCGGCCAGTACAGCTAGCCACTTCCTTAAAAATAATCGTCATGTCTTCTGAGTGAAAACGGAAGCGATGCATGAAATACCGAACGACACCTTTAAAATGGAAAAGTCACAATTTTTTAACCGACTTCCTAGTTCATAGGCTTTGCCTAATAATAATATGTTTAAAATTTACAGAATGACTAACTTATTAAGTTAAGAAAACAGAATTTGAAGACTAGGCTACATAAATATATAAAAAAATCTTATAGTAATAAGTTAGTCATTCTGCAGATTTTAAACATAATATTATATTGTTATAACAGGTTTGTGGGGTGGTGGGAGAGGGGTGTTCATTATAGCGTTCTGACACATGCCGAATACCTGTCAATTAAATAACGCCATTTAATAATAAAAAAAAGTTGATTTTTTTACTTTCAATTTACATCATTAAATGTAACAAAATACGCGGTGACGTACTTCAGTTCTCCTGTAAATGACTTAATTGTTTTCAGCATTACATTTCGCAAAATTTTCATCCTCCCTACGGAACCATCTGTAGAAGATGTATTTTCCACAGAATGTTGCATTTCCTTGTTACTTTCGTCCATGGCCGCCATCTTGAATTTCCCGCGAAAATATATTTACTGACGACTCATCAAGAGGCGCTGTCGTCTATCACAAACAAAAAAACTACAACGATACAAGAAGATACAAGATACAAGATACAAGAAAATTTATTTTACGTCGGATTTAGTTTAATCATATTTTATTGCTATATACATGTATATACAATACAGATACAAATTTCATATGTATTTTAAACAGCAAAAGCAAACGGGTTGGGCCCAAGTTCTTACAACATTAGCGGTCGGCCCTCCCCGGTAAATAATGAAACGAAAAAACTATATTCAATACTTAATGGCATATAACATAAACATAGTGTATATCATGTATAATTGCTGATGGAATGAATCGTAAGAAACGATTTTTAACAATATACAATAAAGTATTCGAACAGATAGAAATCAACGTTCGTGTATTTTATAAATTTATAAATATGGATGATCTAAGGATGCAGTATAACCTACCCCCCACCCCTAAGTGTCACGGGTTTCGTTAAGGCTGTTATGTGCATTTACTTTATATTGGGTACAGGGTATTTGTAATTACTTCTTATATAATATTCTAAGTACATTTATAACTGATTACAATAAAGGTTTAATGTTTAGGTATAAGTGAATCGATTTGTATTTTTAATAGATTTATGGACAGCAGTAAATATAACTTCATTATCTTTCGATGCTAGGCTATCACTACCAAGTAACAGTAGATTTGTATTCAGTGGGTGGAACGTCCTAGTTTCTGTAAAGAGTGTTATTCTTTGCGTTTGATAACTCGGGCATTTAAAGAAAAAATGTTCAGCATTCTCAATTGCATTTCCGCAATGACATGTGGGATTTTCACTAAGATGATTTCTAACTAAGTCACCATTTAGGTCGCTGCAATTGTTTCTTATACGTGAGTGTAAAACTGATAATAGTCTGTCACCTATTAAAAAATGTTTAGGAACAATAGGAGCTTTGAACATTTCTTTCATTCTAGTTTTTAAATATGTTTAGTGATTCCGCATTACGAATACTAGCATCAAGTGAATTCCAAAGTTCAATTGCTGAAGGTAAGAAGGATCTATTATACGTTTCAGTACGACGAGCTAATGTTGCATAATTGTTATTATTTCGAAGTGGATAGTTTTATGTTTCTGAAACAGTACTTGGGAAGAGCTCTTCAAGATAATGAGGGACAAGGCCATTTTTTTTGCTTTGTAAACCGTGACTAACTTTTGAATTATACGTCTGTCAGAAAAGAGATACCCAGCCTACTTCTTTAATCAATGAATTTATCGATACAGACCTAGTTAACCCAGTAACGACGCGCGCGGCTTCGTATTGCAATTGTTCAAGTGATTGCTTTTCGTTTAATGTAAACCGTCCCACACTACTGAGGCGTATTCCAAAATCGGACGCATATAAGAGATGTATATTTTATTCATAGTAGATCGTTTAAGTTTAAATTTTAATGCACGCATTGTACTTAAAACTTTTGACGCTGATAACCATTATTTTTTTCGATATGTTCATGCCATTTGAGATCATGAGAAATTGTCAAGCCTAAATGTTTGTGATGATCAACAAAGTCAAGACGATTGTTATTAAAGAATAAAATAGGCTTAGGATTTGTGTTTGAAGAGAAAAAACATAACTTCAGTTTTATTGGGATTGAAACTCACAAAGCCATTGATTAGACCATTCATTAATGATATTAAGGTCACGATTTAAAGTTGTTTCTATGAGGCCGATATTGTTTGGAAGAAACAGCTAAAGAGCTGTCGTCTGCAAAAAGACGAGTAATAGAGAGTAAGTTTTCGGCAATATCATTGACGTAAATCAAAAAACAATAGAGGGCCCAAGGGCTGAGCCTTGAGGGACGCCTGCAGATATATTAAGGATGGAAGATAATTCAGAGCCTATAAAGACCGATTGTTTCCTTTCAGAGAGATAATCAGTAACCCAACTGAGAAGCTGGGGCCCGTCTTATCAACGATCGTACGATTTTGGAAATCTTATCGTACGATTTTGATCTACGATTGTCGTACGCTCGATCGTAAGACTGTCTTATCAACGCGGTCGTACGTTCAACCTAAAATCTTACGATTTTCATAGACGCACAGTTCTTACGCCTGCGCAGTATCACGGGTCGGTCTAAAACGCAGACGCTTATATGCAGACAATATAGGATATATAGTAAACGCAGACAATATTGATATAGAGTGTTTTCACAAAACACAGACAATATAGAATAAGAAGGTGTAAATAAGATACTTAAAAGCTGTTTAGATTTGTATGTTTAAGATCAAAAGTTTAAGATATTAGAGATTTGTAGGTATAAATATTTGATAATAGATTAGAATTTTTAAGAATAGAAATATTTGTTATGATTTTTTATTAAGATGATATAAATTAAGAAATAATAAATAGTGATATTAAAAAGATTTTTTGACACACTATGCTTGATTTGTATTAACTTTTATGAATTAAAAATAAAATGTCTAATATAAGTTTTGTTAACTTTAATAAGCAAAATTTTAATGGGGACAATAAAGTAAACTTCAAAACAAATTTAAAAAACAGAACATATTTTTATTTGATTTTTATACATAGTCCATCTACAAAGTAATCATTAAATAGTTAATAATACAATGTTACAAAGCATTTATAATTATTAAAAAACAACAACAATGTGATGTAAAAAGATAAATATAATTATCATTAAAAAAAATATATATGGACAATATCAAATCACTTTAGATATCTATATTGTCTGCGTTTCTTGCAATTACTATATACTCTATATTGTCTGCATTTTACTATATGTTCTATACTGCTAATAAACCTAGAGTAAAATGCACACGATAAAGCGTATATAGTACCTGCGAGAAACGCATACAATATAGATATATAGTGAAAATAAATTTTGCAGACATGTATATATTTTATTAACAGTATAATTATAGTAATATGCAGACAATATAGAGTATATAAAACTTGCGAGAAACGCAGACAATATAGATAAATAGTGAAAATGAATTTTGCAGACATGTATTACAAGCTAACTTGTACATGTACATGTAGTTATATTTGATTTTTTACATTATTTGTTGTTTAGTACTAAAGCAAATCAATAACAGTCTTACATTATATCTAAATGTGTTTATTGGGGCTAGATTAAAGCAATATAAAGATAAATCATCATTTACCACTTTCTAATTTCTATTTTTACATCAATTTACTGTTTCACATTTCAGAAAAAACTTCTTATCTTTCAGAAAGAAAAAGAAACGCACATGTCTTGGATGAATGACAGACTATTCTCCCCCTAACCAGTTCCTCCATCTGACAGTTCTCAATCGAACCGTTTCCATCATTTTCCTTCCCCGACAGCCCCCAACCCCCCTCAAAAAATATCATATATTTATTTTCATTTTTTTTTCTACACAGGAATTTTAGTTTTATTTATATTATTTTCTCTCATGGTGAGAATTATTGTAAGCAACATTTTTATTTTAAGAATAATATTATTAAGGAAGCAGTTTCAAAATTTGTTTATTAAAGTATAATATGCAATTAAATTGTTGAAACTTAATCAAGATCTTAAGATCATAGGTTTCTTTAATGAAAATTAACCAAGCTGATAGTCGGCCACAACTAAATGACTACTCGGGCAATCCAATAGTTGCACTTGATGCCTGAAAGGCCTACTTTTTCTACGGCCTTGAAGCATTTACAGGAAGCACGGCAGCATTATTTATATTGATCTACGACTGCTTCTCATCGATCGTAGAAAAAATGCACGATCTTACGATAATCGTACGATTATGAAAATCTGCGACGTTTGATAAGACACCGACAAAATCGTACGATCGGCGTACTACAATCGTACGATAAAAACGGTCGTACGACCGTTGATAAGACGGGCCCCAGGTCTTTAATACCATATTGTTTTAGTTTAAAAAGCAGACCTTGATGCCATACCCTGTCGAATGCTTTTGATATATCACAAAAAATAATACAGGTCGATAGCTTTTTGTCATAGGATTCGCAAATTTGGTGATAGATGTCTATTAGTTGATAAACAGTTGAATGTCCAGGGAGAAAACCTGACTGTAAGGGATATATCAAATTGTTTGAATGTAGATGGTTGTATATATGTTTGAAGATTACTCGCTCCATCACTTTACCTACACAACTAATTAATGATATTGGGCGATAATTAGAAGGACTATTTCTATTTCCTTTTTTAAAAAGGGGCATAACTTTTGCAAATTTCCATATATTAGGATAAACACCTTCTCGAAGAGATCTATTAAATAATATACATAATGGCTTACAAATAGTTAGTTTTGTTTCTTTTAAAATTTTATGACTTATATCATCCGGCCCAACCGCCTTGTTTATGGGTAATAATGACAATATATCAATTATTTCTTGGTAATTAATTGTAAAATTTTCAATATCGTTGTTTGATTTTTGAATAAATACCGGAAGTTGAGTAGAAGTTGTATCAATATGCGACACTGATATGAAATATTCGTTTAAGCAATTTGCTTTTTCGGCATCAGTTTCATATTGTTGTTCATTACCATTTTCATCTACTAATAAGGTTGGTATTGAATTAAACGCATTTGAATTTTCTTTAATTAATAACTTAACTGTTTTCCAATAAAGTTTTGGATCATTTACACTTGCTTCCTCCAACGAATACTCAAGATTATTAAAAAATTGTTCTTTAGCATGTTTTTTTAAATTATTGACTTTGTTTCTTAAATGCTTGAAAGTGTTCCAATCAAAAATCGAATTAGTTCTAACTGCTTTTTTCTTTGAGCGATCACGTTGTCTGGAAGTTCTACGAATTACTGAGTCATACCACGGTTTGTCCTTAGGTCTTATAGTTACTAATCGCGTTGGAATGCAGTTTTCGGCTAATCTAAGAATAATAGAAGTAAACAATTCGGTGGCTTCATGTACTGAGTTTAAATTTAGAAATGACCAATCATTATTTTGTATGAGATTATTAAGTTCCTG